ATACAGATATGCATGCTCCACTGCCATTAAGGAATCTCCATCCACACTATGTCCTGCACATAGCTGAGAGTCCTCTATAATAGGAGAGGATTAGTTGCCCATTATGCATGCATTATGGTTCCTGCTACTGTGAATATTCCAAATACAAAATGATTTCCCACTGACTGGTAGCAGTCTGGCATTGCAAACTTCCAGAGAGTGATCTCTACTTACGTTTCCTCTGTCAATATAGCTCTCATTTTGGTGTCCCTGCACTGAAGGGCGTAGGTGAACTTGGCGCACAGATCCTGGAATGGGGTCTTTGCATTTAAAAGTTCCATAGTCATGACTCATCATCCCAAACCTCTATTACAGTGAGATCTTTCCACTCAGTCTTTGTTTCTGGGGACTAAAAGTGGCATGCCACCATCTGCAGCTTCTTTGTGAACATCACCCACAACGTTGAATTAATTTTGAATGTCCCTTAGCAAGCTGTGCTCCGAGAAATTGTCATGTCTGCCATTTTTTGCAATATTTCTGTGGATTTCCAAATAAGAGGATAGAGGGCCCTTTATTGGGATGGATTGGATCACAGATGGGGATGGATTGGTATTGTCACCTGGTGTGCTGATCAATCCACTGATTTTGCTTTCTTGCCCTCAGAGGCTCCCCAACACCATGTCCTGTTCAGCCAGAAACTCTCCCAGCCAAGGCACAGAATTAGACTTCTCCATCCCCATGCAGAGCAACACAGACCCCAAGCCAACTCAACTCTGGGAGGGCTCTGCTATAAGGCTGTTGCCAGCACCCAGGAATCAAACCCTCCAAAGGGATCAAAACTCCAAATAAATCCATCTTACCCTGTATAAAAGTTTTACCCAGAGAAAGCTCATGAAGATGTTTGCCCCCTTTATCCATGAGAGAGAGACACACACATTGGTTGCACCCTATCCCCTAGGTTACAGTTATTTACACTGGGCTTGCTAATAAGTGTTTTATTAAGTATAAAAAGTAGGATTAAGAGGTTGCAAGTGATCTAAGTAAATTACTAACTAAAATAAGACTTCTGCTAATCCTAATACACTTGGGCTATGTCTATACTGCGCTCTCTTGCACAAGTAAATATGCAAATGAGGTGAAGCGGTGAATGTTGCCACGCCTCATTTGCATACTTAATGAGCTGCCATTTTGCGCAAAAAAACCCTCTTGTGCAAGAGCCGTTCTGCTGCTTTTTTTCAGGCAGAATGGCTCTTGCACTAAAGCCCCTTGCGCAAAAATGGCAGCTCATTAAGTATGCAAATGAGGCGTGGCAACATTCACCGCTTCACCTCATTTGCATATTTACTTGTGCAAGGCTTATTTTCTTGCGCCAGAGAGTGCAGTATAGACATAGCCTAAGAGAAGTTGTTAGAGTGACCAATTCTGTTCAATATATTCATCAACAATTTAGATCATGGTATAGAGACTATGCTTATAAAGTTTACAGATGATACCAAGATGGAAGGGATATCAAGTGCTTTGGAGGATAGGGTCATAATTCAAAATGATCTGGACAAACTGGATAAATGGTGTGAGGTAAATAGGTTGAACTTCAATAAGGACATATATCAGTTTCACACATACAGAATGGGAAGTGACTGTCTAGGAAGGAGTACTGCCAAAAGGGATCTAGAGGGTCATAGTGGACCACAAGCTAAATATGGGTCAACAGAGTAATGCTGTTGCAAAAAAAGAAAATGTGATTCTGGGATGTATTAACAGGTGTGTTGTGAACAAGACATGAGAAGTAATCGTTCTACTCTGCTCTGCACTGATTAGGCCAACGGTTCCCAACCACTGGTTCACGGACCAGCAGCGGGCTGCCGCACCCCCCTGTCTGATGGACTATGGAACGTTGCCAGGCCATGTCCCCAGCTTTTATTTAGTTCTGCCCTGCGGGGTTCCAAGGGAATTCCCTTCCTGTGCTCGTCCACATGCAGCAACTGTGACCCCAGGTCCAGCTCCGGCGATTGCTATGCAGCCCAGCTGGTGGGGCCAAATGCTGTGTGCAAGGTGGCTTCCCCAGCCAGCAGGGCCAAGCACTGCGTGCAGGGCGGCTGCTCCAGCTGGCGGGGCCAAGTGCTGCATACAGAGCAGCTGCTCCAGCTGGTGGGACCAAGGTCCCCGTGCAGGGTGGCTGCTTTTGCGACCCCATACTCCTTCCCTCCCTGCTCAGCGGGAACCTCCCCCTGGCCTATACCTGCTCCCAGCCAACAGGTACATTATTATTATGCATTATTAAGGGCATAGGAAAATATGAATATGCAGTGTGTGTCAGCACTGTCAGACTTGTTAGTACTGCCTTAATTCTGGTGCAATTGAAGCAAAAGGTTTGGACTGGAGAGTACTCTTTAACAAGTATTAGCAACTATTTTATTGGTTTTTTTTTTTTTAATGTGTGCACACAGTCTATCAAATTCTTATTAACCATCATGTCCCCCCTCCTTTGATTTGCCTGCTATACCATGGGCTAAAATTATAATGAATATACAAATACATTAATTATCATAATGAACATGCAAGTATTTCAGTGCTGGTTCACCAACTGTTTTTGAATGAGTTTGCCGGTTCGTGGTATAAAAATATTGAGAACCACTGGAGTATTATGTCAGTTCTGTGCACCATGTTTCAGGAACGATGTTGGTGAAATTGTAGAGGTCCAGGGAAGAGTAACAAAAATGACTAAAGGTCTAGAAAACAGGACCTATGAGGAAAGACTGAAAGAATTGGTTTTGTTTCGTTTGGAAAAGAGAAGACGGAAAGAGGACACGATAGCAGCTTTCTAGTACCTAAAAGGGTATTACAAGGAAGAGGGAGGGTAATACAAGAATCAGTGAGCTTAAACTGCAGCAAGAGAGATTTAGGTTGGACATTAGGAAAAACTTCCTGTTAGGGTGGTGAAGCACTAGAATAAATTGCCTAGGGAGGTTGTGGAATTTCTATCTTTGGAGATGTTTAAGAGCAGGATAGGTAGATATCTGTCAGGGATGATCTAGATGGTACTTGGTCCTGCCATGAGGGCAGGGAACTGGACTTAATGACCTCTCAACATCCCTTCCAGTTTTAATATTCTATTACTAGTATTCTATGATAACTTCTTGGCACAGTTTTTATTTCAGGGAAAGTTCTTCTCAGGCCAGACTTATTCTTTTTTTTTTTTTCCGACTTGGTGCTCTAGCAGCTTTTTTTCACTCCTGTTTTAGTGTTCTTTTGTTTTCACATGTTTTTATGTATCTTCTCAGGGTGGAGAGCAGTCTGTAAAGCCAACTGCAGGCCATCATTGTTCGTTTCCCATTCCTTAAATAGAATTTTCTCAGGGCAGGAAGTCCCTTCAATTCTCCCCCTTCTGCCCCATGGAAAAATACAAAATTCAAGATGGATTCCAGAAACAGGTGGCATGGTCACCTGTTTTTGTAGGACCAATCACAATCCAAGCTTAAAGGAAAACACTATTCACAGATCATTGCCTTGAGCACTGGGCCATTAAGTGACTTTCATTAGCATATCTAGATATATAAATAGGCTTATACTTCGTAATTCTAACTTCATATACAAGAATGATACATACACACAAATAGAATATATATAATTGGGGGATTATAAACTCTCCAATGATAGATCACATGCCCCAGTATGCATATTTATATTCAAAAACACACTCCCAAAAATGTTGGGGGTGCAACATCGCAGTTTCCAAGCACTTTTGTTACATAATATGAGCTATTAGGTACGGTTCAAACCAGGTGTTGTCAAAAGCGTTTCAGTGTTTTGTGAATCTGTGATACCTTTGGATTCACAGTGTTTAGGAATGTTGTTATTCACCAAAATCTTTAATCATGATGCTTTACATTTTCTTGTGTTTTTTAGAAAACATAATATGGAATAGTTTTATTTTTATATTCCAAAATTATTTTTGTTTCGTTAAAACCTATAGTACCAAATGTAGTGTATATGAATAGGTTAGTAATAGAGATGTAACCATGTTAGTTTGGTCTTGCTGAAACAAAAGACGGAACTATGCAGCACTTTAAAGGCTAACAAGATGGTTTATTAGGTGATGAGCTTTCATGGGCCAGACCCACTTCCTCAGATCAAATTGTGGAAGTCATGCCAATTTTCTTCCACAATTTGATCTGAGGAAGTGGGTCTGGGCCACGAAAGCTCATCACGTAATAAACCATCTTGTTAGTCTTTAAAGTGCTGCATAGTCCTGTCTTTTTATGAATAGGTTAGTATCTCTAGTTTGTGAGCCCTCTAGTGGCACTCTGTGTTTTAAAAAGGTAGAGAAACCAGTCAGACCAGTAGTCTGGTCAGACCAGCATATTTAGTAAGCACAATTATTTGGGATCCAGATGAGCCATACTGGATTTTTTTCCTTTTTGTTTGTTGTGGAAAGAGCAAGAAATCACCGTACTGAGCCAGCATGGTAAGCGACTTCCAAAATGGAACTTGCAAAAAGTGAAAAATTATGTTAATGATTTAGTTTATCACTTTTTTTCCAATTACAAATGTTCTACTTGACAGACTCTCCCAACAATAAATAAACATTAGGCAGCCATATTATGCAACCCCTCCCATCTAAACAGTTTACAGCCCCTCCATCTGTGAGCTCTCAAACTACCTAGATGCCTGCAAGATAAGCTTGGCTTTGCAGCATTGCTGGTGGAAAGGTGCCAAATCTACTCACTGATAGACCAAATTTCAGGGCCAGGGGCCTCAGATGGGGAGTTCCTTTCTTATTCTTGAACCACCAAAGATTTTGGAGTTGTTTTGGCACATTGCCATTAACACATACAAAATATCTGAAGAAGATAATGAGAAGTATATGGTCCTTCTGAATAGCACTGAATACATAGCACTTAAAAAAACAACCATTGGTCTAGCAGCACCTTAAAGACTAACAAAACATGGTATCACGAGCTTTCGTGGGTACAACCCACGTTTTCAGATGACTGGAGTATTAAAAGTCCAGTTCCAAAATAAATAGGCGATGGAGGAGAGGGGGTGAGAAGAAAGGGAAAAGTCTACATAGCACTTTTAACTGTGAAATAACATTTTTTCTCAAACATACTTAAATCTGCCACTATTTAAAGCATCCATGTTTTGAGGTTATTAAGTACAAACTAATTAAACTCAATCTGCCTTCTTCTTCCCTTTCAACACCTTTTGGCCAATGGATTGGCATAGCCTTGAATCCAACAGTCTTATGCAAATCTTTTCTTCACTTGGGAATGCCGGGAGCCTACACAGAGCTAAGCTCCATTATATGTATACGGTCTGAACTTCACATACAGGCACAGGAAATCCTGACCCATCCATGGAATACTACCATTTTGGGGGGTTTTGTTTGTTTTTTGTCTGTATCCAGGGCCTGATGGGAAATGTGTTGGGGTAGGGCAGGAGAGGTTTCTAATGGCATGTCTACACTGGCAAAATTTTGCGCTGAGAGCTTTGTTGCTGATAAAACAGCACTTTAAAAAAAATTGTTGTATGGTCACTGTCTTCCACTGCTGGTATAGTGTGTCCACACTTGCAGTGCTTGCATCCCAAAATTGAAGCTCTCCCCCTTCTACACTAGGTCTTGCGGGAAGATGGAGGGGATTATTGTGCATCATGAGTCTGGGCACAATGTCCCATGATGGCTTGCTTTCCATCCTAGCATTCCATGTGCCTCCGTCTTCAGATCATGGCATTTTTCAACATCCCTTGTTTTTTGTTTCCCCCACTGCATCTGTCTGCAAGAATGGTCCCTACGTTGCTCTCCACTGCTCTGCTAGCTCTCACTAGCACATTGTGAGTGGCAGTGGAGTCATTATTGAAATGACAAAGGCACAGTTGCCTGACATGGTGTCCAACATGGAAAGAAGCAACATTAGATTGCTTTTGGAATTCACTGATGAACTGAAGGCAGAAGTGTGTCACACTTGAACTTGGGAAATTAGCAAAGAGTGGTTGGATCGCATTGTTATGCAAGTCTGGAATGACAAGTGGTGGCTGCAGAACTTTTGGATGCAGAAAGCCACCTTCATGGAACTGTGTGCTGAGCTTGCCCTAGTCCTGAAGTGCAAGGACTGCTGAATGAGAGCTGTCCTCTCAGTGGAGAAGAGTGTGGTGATCGCAGCATGGACGCTGGCAACTCTAGACTGCTTCCAGTTGGTTGTGGACCAGTTTGGAGTGGGAAAGTCAACCATTGGTGTTGTGTTAATGTAAGTGTGCAAAGCCATTAATCACATTCTGCTGTGGAAGATGGCGACTCTCTTTGCAATATGTGTGGGACATTATGGATGACTTTGCAAATATGGGTTTCCCTAACTGTGGAGGGGCAATAGATGGCATGTATATTCCAGGTCTAACACCAGACCGCTTTGCGACTGAGTACATCAATCAGAAGGGGTACTTCTTCATGGTTTTTCAGGTGCTTGTGGATCACCCTGGGCAATTCACTGACATTAATGTGGGGTGGACTGGAAAAGCACAGGATGTATGTTTCTGTAGGAACACTGGCCTGTACAGAAAGCTTCCAGCAGAGACTTTCTTTCCAGACCACAAGATCACCATAGGAGAAGTAGAAATGCCCATGGTGATCTTGGGAGACTTGTGTATCTTTTAATTCTGTGGCTCATAAAGCTATCATGGCAGTAAGGAGACATTAAAAACAGGCTGAGTAGGTGTATAATGGCCATTGAATGTGTATTTGGTCAGTTTAAAGGCATGCTGGAGATGCCTATGTGGCAGGTTAGAGATGGAGGAGTTCAATAGTCCCATGGTTCTAGCTGCTTGCTGAATGCTGCATTTGTGAAGGGCAAACTCTTTACTGAGGGATTGATTGCTGAGGCAGAATGATTGCCTACTACAGTAGACTTCTGATAATCCGGCACCTTTGGGACCCAGGGGGTGCTGGATTATTGGATATGCCGGAGTATCAGGAGGTACTCTGGCAGGGGGGCCTGGAATGGGTCAGGGGGGTAGTCTGGCGGGGAACGGCGCAGCATGGAGCAAACCCTCTGCAATCTTGCAGGGAGGCGGGGGAAGCCCCACGCAGCTGCTGGCGACAGGCCAGCTGGAGCTGCAAGCGGCAGCGGTGACTTGGGGAAGCGGGGGGGCAGAGCAGCTGGGGGGCTGCCGGGGTGGGCCCCCCGCACCGCCCCGGGGCACTGCGGGACCGAACCCGCAGCACCTCAGCTCGTCTGGCCCAGGTGT